GGACAGGATGACCACCACCGTGTCTTCTGGAGCCAGGGTGAGGCTGAAATGACAGCATCTATGGTCCTTAGAGTGCCTGGTCCTCAGGTGCTTAGTAAATGTGAGCCTTGATGGCCATTGGCTCTCAATTATTGGTCACATGAATAAGGGAGGGAAGGGAGTAATGAGGTGGAGGCAGCAGCAAGGAGTGAGCAGGGAGCCCTGCCTTCCCACCAAGAGGAAGGGAAGTTGGTCAGCACCTCAGGCTGAGAGGGCTGCCAGAGGCAGGTCCTCCTGACAAAGGCAGGCTTCAAAAATCTTGGTATGGATTCTGAGCCAGAGGAGAATGAAACAGGAGGATATAGAATATTGACCAGCCCTCCATTTCTAACTTGGGAATCCTGAAAAAGCTGCCTTCTATTTCCTTGCTGCACTTCCCCCCACCCCACCTGCTCCACTTCCTGCTATCTCCTCTTCAGTTCTGCCTGCCCCACTCCTCACCCCTCACTAGACACCTAGGACAGCCAATGCCTATTTCTACCTCCTATTCCTCCTATCTCCCAGTCTTAGTTACCTCCTCCCCACCTGTCCCTTTGCCTTCTCCTCCCTTTTGTTTCTCTGCCCTTCTATTCACTCACCATCATTTCTGACTGCCCCCCCTCCCCCTTTATCTATCAGTCCTTCCTTTGCCCCTGACCTGGCTCCTTTCTCAAGTTTTCTGAGCCCTGTATCCATCAGGTCTCACACCTTGTCTTCAGACCTCAACCCCAAGGATGTCCAGAGCTCGCCTGGTGATTCCTACTGCCTACCTGAGGGCTGGGTGCCCCTGCCCATCAGATTCCTGGCCCACCCCGGAACTCTGGCGGCATGAGCACTCAGGGGTGTATTGACATGGGGCCCCCTGAGAGCCAGCCCAGGCCCCCAGACACTCCTTCGGGTCGGTTTTTCTTCTGAATCACATTCTCAGTTGGACTGGTCCCGGCCAGCTCAATGGCTTCTAGATTAATACGAATTCTTATTTGGCACTTGAGACAATGAACATAATCTGTAAGTGACCTCTGGGCCCTGCTGTACATGTGGTCAAACCATGGCTAACAGAAAGTACATGACGAGGAGGAGTGGGCAGGCGTGGGCATCTGGTCAGTGGTGAAGCTATGGCTACAAGCAAGTTACAAGGAAACGTGTGAACAAAGCCCCTGCCCTCCTTCAGGGAGTTGGTGACTCATTGCCTCCAGATGTCATCTTTGCCCCAAGATGTGCAGAACGTGAGTGCATCCGAACCACTGCCCTAGTAGAACCTGCACTGGAGACTCTGACTCCAATAGGAAGGACATTTCCAGTGGATTCTGATCAAAATCATGTCAAATTATGATCGCTCGCTCTCCATCTCCCCCACCCCTAATTCACAATCGAAATTCAAGGATAACAGAACCTCAGAGGCAAATTGTTACCCACACCCCACTCAACAAAGATAAGGAGGAAACATTTATTAGAAAACTTCAGCCTTGAGCTACAAAGTCTTCTGAGTATTACCTGAAGGGAATGGGTAGAGCAAGGAGGGAAGCAATGTCCCCCACCACCCCAACCCCACTTTCTCAAGTTCGAAGTGTATGGGTCTGTCCCTGAATGGGGAGGCAAGTGACCAGAGCCAGGAAGGATTCGGCCTTCTGGGAGCATTTTCCTCCCCTTTATCCATAATCGGCCTTGTGTTATTACATCCCAAGTACCTCAGCTTTCCCAGCACATATGTGTCAACGTAGACGTGTGGAGAAGTCAGTAGACCAAAGAGCTCTCTATCACAGGCAAAAAGCAACGACTCCTGGGCCATGTGCATTCAGCCACATCTGAGGAATCACAGAGAACAGGCAAAGGCAGATGGCGATTCAACACAAGGGGACTGAGGTCTGGAGCCCCTCCTCCTTGACAACCTGGGCCTCACTGGTCTGCCTTCCTCTTTACCTCCCTGCTTTTGGTGTAACCAGGGAGATGCCCGAGAATCTCAAATACCCCCATCTTTGTGTGTGTGTGTGTGTGTGTGTGTGTTCCCTCGAGCAGTTTAATCAGTATAATTTAATTATCAGATCATTTTAGCCCAAAATAGGACTTTACAAGATTTAAGAGATGTACTTAATATCAAAGAAAAATAAGGGATAAGGAAGTGAAAACAAAGCCACATAAACTGAGGCCAGGGATTGATGCACTAATTACACAGCCCAAGAGAGCTGATGTGTACTTAGAATCGGACCCTTGGTGGCCAAAACTAAATCCATTTTCATTCCATACTCAGAAGCTAGCGTCAGGCACAATGTCCAGCTTCCCTGTATTCTCTTCCCCCAGGACATGCCAGACGGATTTAGTGTGACCTTCATCTGGCTGGCCTTACTTCTGCCATCGATTTCTGGGAACCTCAGGAGTGGAGCTGGGTCGGGGACTTCCTGTGTGGTCATGAGCAAGCCCTCTCCTCAGGTACTGTCTGTAGAGGTGTTCTCCTGCCCTGACCCCCACCAGGTGGCATTCACTTCAAACCTTCTCACCTCCATCTCCAGGGCACCATCTTGCCCCGCCTCCTGCTTGTCTCCAGCTGCCTCTAACTATGCAGAAGGGACTCTGGTCTTTCAATTCCCCCAAAACACTGGAGCTAAGTCGTGTCTTACATGGAAGGAAGGGGAAGAGGCCTTTTCCCTCTGTGTTACATGTCAACTGGCCCCAGGGACTCTCTGGAGAGTTCTGTGACAACGGCTGTCAGCCCCTGCCCCATCTCCTCTCCTCCTGGGACTCAGATGAACCCAACCAGCCTTAAAGACAGACTTGTTTCTCACTCTCCCTTCCTGGGGCCCTCACCCTCTAGACGGCACCATGATGGGATATTGTCCTCCAATGAAACTGTTGAAAACAAACGTGACTTTAGGAGTATTATGCAGTGGCAGACATGATCAGAATCATCTCCACATGCAGAAGGAATCACTAACAGTGCCCTCCTAAGAAAGGCTGTGCCTTTGTGGACCCCTATTCTACTTGTACGAGTTTAGGCAGAATCTTCTGCCTTTGGCTTAACCAGGTGGCTCCTAGAAGGAAGCAGCTCAGCCCTGAGAAACGGGAGAATGGGCCACACACTGAGAAGAGGGGCCTCTGGCGCTTGCTGCCTCTTCCTGCTTGCAACACAGGATGGGGTCCGAGGGGCTCAGGCTCCTTCTAGGGATCCTGGCACGGACCAGGTGAAAGACGCACCAGGAGATAAGAGGCCGTCGCTCTACTGCAGCGCAGGTGGTGGAAGGAATGGGAAGTGAGGAGGAATGCACCTTAAACATCCTCCCCTCACCCCCGAAGAATGTGCCCTTGGAGGGAACTGGCCTAAAACCAGAGCGAGGGGGAAATGGTGTTGGGTGTGCTAGAGCTGATACTGACGTTGGGGGGTGTAAAACCAGCTGGAAGCTGTCACAGGCTGAAGCGGGAGCTCCAAGGCCAAGCTCGAGCCTCCCCTCTCCCTCACAGCCTTCCCTGACCTACCACTACATGCAGCACTAACCCCATAATGGACTGCGGCAGGGGCTTAAAGTGAGGCTGGCATCTGCTAGTGGGTGGGGGGGAGTGGGGGAGGATGTTAAGGGAGGTGGAAAGGGAGTGTGGGATCAAAACTGAGGTAAGGGGACTAATTCTGACTGTAGTTACTGACTCAGCCCAACTGGAAAATGCCCTTAGAAGGAAGAAGTGTGTATGAGGGACAGGGTCTGGGGTGAGAGTGTGTAAGGCTCATTGAGGCAGTGAGGGGAAGTTTGTGAGTCCATGTGTGTACACATGCACATGCTGAACAGGTGGCTGGAGTTGGCAGCAGGTGGACATGGCAGCTGGAGGGGCCCAGGAGTCATCCAGTAGGGCTGATCAGCAAGTGCCTGGGCTCCTAAGAGGGGGGGGGCCCAGGGCATGAGGCAGATCTGGGAGCCATCAGCATGCACACAGCGGTAAAGACACAAATGGAACACAGTGAATGGAGCAGTGGAGAAGCGGGGCTAGGACAGAGTCTGGATGAGGAACAAAGTGAGTGGACATGAGGAAGCCCAGCTTTCTGTAAGGTTAGCCTAACAATTCTCAAAGGGAACAAGCAGGACTGACTCCCTGAGAAAAGGGAGCTTCTTCAACCCCCTTTCCCCAGCCACAGCTGTCTCACCAGAAGGTCACGATGGCTACATGAGCCTCCCAATCACAGCCCGCCTCTCCCTCTCACCCATGTCCTTGTAAAGACCGAAGTTTGTATCTAGTCTTTGGTAATCACTCATCCTTGCCCAAAGCACAGGGCCGTTATCAACGTCTCCAAACCTTCACCTTTAGAATTCATGATGTTAACAGGATGTGTCGTCTACAAAGTGCTTCGAGATCCTGGCCCGAGTTACCTGTCCCAACGTGAGCGAGGTTCTCTATGGGGGCAAGAACACCTCAGGCTCTGGGCAGACAGGTCTGGCTGAATCCTGCTTCGCCACTTTCAGCTGTGTGACCCAAGCAAGTTACTTCAGTCTCCCAAGCCTAGCTTTTCTTTCCTGGGAAATGGGGAGGATATTAGAACCTCTTTCCTGGGACTGTTGTGAGGATTAAGTGAGATCATGTGTGTAAAGTGCTTAGCAGAGAGCCTGCCAAACAGCAAACGCTGGATAAAGGCTGGCTATTTTTGCTATTATTAGCACTGACATAGTAAGATGAGTAATATGTGACTGTTGTTCCTCCTTCTTGCTAAACTCATAGTGGCCTGGTCTCCCACAAGAGTCTCCAAATTCTCTTCTGAGGATACGCCCCAACTAGAGACTGGCATGCAGGAGATTCTGACGTGTGCTGATGGGGGATGGGTACACATGGGATTGTGAAGGCACAGTGAGGTCTGGAATCACTGCTCAGGCCCACTGATTTGCCTCTAATCCTCTAAGCTTCCAATTTGGCTCAAACACTGACAAGCCCTTAAATGACAGCAAATGTAAGGACAGCCTGAGGACTGAGTGGAGATGTTTTACAGGAGAAAAAAAAAATCACAAATCTGGATCCTTAGCATTTGTAATTCGCTTCCAAATTACCTGGATTATATCAAGAGAACTTCCCTGGTACACACCAAGCTTAAAAACTGGGGATATTTCTTTCTGCCATACATCTTATAATCTTGGGAGATATAAATACACATTTATCTCTTTTGTTGTGGAGGGGAGTTGTCTTCTATGACGCTTTCCCTCCTGCATGGGTTCTCCGGTGGGCACTGAAGTGAGAGCTGTTGTTGAAGTCTTTGCCACACTCCAAGCACTTGTAGGGTTTTTCTCCAGTGTGGATTCTCTGGTGAATAATGAGACTGGAGCTCTGGTTAAAGCATTTCCCACACTCTCTACACTTATAAGGCTTCTCTCCCGTGTGAATCCTCTGGTGAGTAATCAGATTAGAACGGTCACGGAAGAATTTTCCACATTCGAGGCATTTGTAGGGCTTCTCTCCTGTGTGCACTCTCTGGTGTGTGATGAGCTTAGAGCGTTCACTGAAGCACTTCCCACAATCTATGCACTTATATGGCTTCTCCCCAGTGTGGGTTCTCTGGTGGTTAGCCAAGGTGGAGCTCTTACTGAAGCTTTTCCCACAGTCAGCACATTCATATGGTTTCTCTCCTGTATGGATTCTTTGGTGACTAATGAGGGCAGAGCTCTTGGAAAAGGTTCTTCCACACTCAGAACATGGATAAAATTTCTCCTCTGAGTTGGTGCTGTATGGTCCAGGAGAACCCAAGTTCTTACTGGCACTTTTAGGTTGTTCAGGAGTTGTCTCCTCTGTCAGGTTCCTCCAGTGAGCATTAAAGGATGGGCTTTGGTCAAAGTTTTCCCCAGGCTCACTACAATGGTCAGGATTTCCTCCCAAGTGGATCCTCTGATGTTTCAAAAGATTTGAGCTCTGGTTGAAGCTTTTCCAACATGCCCCACATTTATAGGGCTTTACCCCTGTGTGAATTCTCTGGTGGGTGACAAGATTAGAGTGATCACTAAAGCTTTTCCCACATTTGAGGCATTTGTAGGGCTTCTCACCTGTGTGTGTCCACTGGTGAGCAATGAAGTGGGAGGTCCGACTGAAGCTTTTCACATATGTGTCATACTTGTAGGGTTTCTCTGCAAGGTACAGACCTTGATGGTCAATAAGTTTTTCCACGTCCTCTTCAGAAGAACATTCATCCCACCTTTCCTGTGGTGGATTTCCTGCCTGCTCTTCATTTTCATTTTCATGTTCGCTGTCTTCCTCCCAATCATTAGGGTGGCAAACAACTTCTGGAGGACATTTTGATAACACTCCAGGCAAATCCTCAAAAATATCCTGCTCTGAACTCTGGCCTTCATCCTCATGACTCATCTCAAAACCTGAAAAAATGGACAGAAATGTGTTTTTTTTCATTCATTAGTTGATGTCTATTTACATATCTGTATCCTTGTCATGAATTTGGCTAACATAAAATTAACCAAGTTTTGGTGCATAAATGCATTTGTGACCTGCAAAGCTGAGGGAAGGAGTCTGGGACCTGGTGACCCCACCTAGGGAGCCATGAGCCCTTACCAAATAACCAGTCAGTCTCCCTGGCCAATTCCTTTATTCCTATTTGATAATGAACCCCTTCTTCTAATAAAATCAGCATGTCTTAAGTCATATGAGATTGAATAAACTGTAAATGCTCAACCAAATCCCAGTAAAATCTAGATCTGACCGCTTATCTCATTTAGGGGATTACACTACACTAGACATAATCTGAGCAAAGCACAAATCCTTCTACTCAATTCTATTCTGTTATAGTCCAGAGACAAGGTAAGGAGCCTGGCTCCCTCACTCTATCTGCATGCTTGCAGATTTTGTGGGCATCCAATTATTCCATGCTTACCAGTGTGTGGGGTTTTAGGACATGGGGTTGGAGGTTTGATGACATTTTCATCTGCCATCTCATCCCAGGCCTCCTGGTCGTCAGCCTCTGTACTGCTCCACCCAGACGTAGGAAGACCTGCTACCTCTCTGATGTTCCCCATGGCTCTGACTGCAGTCCGCGCCCTCACCAGTGAGTCCAGCTCCTCATAGAAAGGGCATGTCCCTGGTGGGTGGCTGCTCTTGGCTTTCCGGTAGCTTCGAAGGAGGTTTTTGAATCTGTAGCGACACTGCTCCAGTGTCCGCAGGAAGCCCTGTGCACACAGCCGCTCTGCGATGGCCCGGTACACCTGACTGTTCTGGTGACAGGTGCGAAGCTTTTCAGAGAATGGGGACTCACTGAGGATGGTCAGGAAGGCCTTGGTCTCCTCGTAGCCCCAGTGCACGCCTGCTGTCAGGAGTAAAGAGGTCAGAATTATGAGATTTAGTGAGACTTGCCTAGGTCATCAGGGATCAGGATCACCTGCCTCTTAGAAATTGTCCAGGTACCTGGGCACCAACGAAGAATATACTCTTGCCTCTCAGGGCTATGCCAGCGTTTCCCACCCCAACTCCTTCAAAGACATTTATTAACACCTACGAGTCTTGGCTATAGGGAAGGATGTGGGTAGCCATATTATACCAGGTGACCCCAGCCCCTGGCTTCAGCTGATTGGTTCAGGAAAAGGCCTGTAATTGGAATACAGGAGACTCTCTCTATATCCATTCAATACATTTCCTCTACTTACTTTCATGAATTTTCCTTTTAACTAATATGGAAACTGAGAATCCTTAAAGACATGAATGGAGGTCAAATAATCTTGCATTAGAGGCTAACTGAGGATGCTCTTTCCTCTTTAGTGGAAGAAGGAAAAGGAAGTAGTCTGTTCTCAGTTCCTCTGCAGGTACATGATGCAGCCAAGGAAGACCACCACATAAAGTAGGCTGGAGTTCTGGGTTCTAATCCTGCCCCTGCCCCTGCCTCACTTAGATCCTGAGATAAGACACTTCACCTCTTAGGCTTCAGTGCTCCCACTTTTTAAAAATATGTTTTTATTGACTATAAAGACTATAGAAAAGAAGGGAGAGGGATAGAGATAGAAACATTGATCGGCTGCCTCCTGCACGCCCTCTACTGGGAGTAGAGACTGCACCCTGGACATGTGTCCTAACTGGGAACTGAACTGGTGACCTCTTGGTTCATGGGTCGATGCTCAACCACTGAGCAACACCAGCTGGGCATGCTCCCACTTTTACAGTGACTTGGCTAATTCCCAAACACTAATTACTCAACTACACACTGTCTTGATTGTGCTCTATCTGTTAAATATTTCACTCAATATCTTTCTTTATCTAAATTTACTGTCAGTGAAATCAGGGTTGATGTGTTCATACACATTAAAATTAAATTTACTCGTGCAACCTCTGATCATCCCCATAAACACTTTGGGAAATACTGAATTAGCTCTTTAAAGTCCCTTAAGACTGTTTCTATAGCCAAAAACCTTATACAATGAGATTTGGTCATAGGAGGAGAGAGTAGGAGTCTGAGGGTGACTGAAGGAACTCAGTGCCTTATCCAGTAGCATCAATCCAGACTCCTGTGCCCTCCACTCAGGGAGCACAGGTCTGGCTAGTAGGAGGGGTGGAATCTGGATCCAATTAAATGCCTTGTTCTTACCAACACGACTTTGGAATAGAGCTGGACCCCTTGAAATCCTGGGCCCCTGGACAGACTCGCCAGTGGCCAGGTCATCACCATTACAGTCTTCTGCCGTTTCCTCTTGCTCCCAGTTCCCATCCTCTTGTTCTTCCATCTCTGCATCACTGTCCCCCAGCCTGGGGAGTGCCACAGCCACTCCTGGGCAATCTGTGGCTCTGATGGTCGTCCGAGCCCTCACCAAGGCCTCCAGCTCCTCATAGAAGGGGCAGGTCCCCGGTGGGTGGCTGCTCTTGGCTTTCCGGTAGTTCCGGAGGAGGTTTTTGACCCTGTAGCGACACTGCTCCAGTGTCCGCAGGAAGCCTCGTGCCCTCAGCCGCTCTGCGATGGCCCGGTACACCTGTCGGTTCTGGTGACAAGTCCGGAGCTTTTCAGAGAAAGGAGACTCACTCAAAATGGCCAGGAACGTCTTGGTCTCTTCATAGCCCCAATGCACGCCCGACACCTTCATGTCCTCCACGTCCCATTGGTACTGTTCCTCCCAGGCCTTAGAGTCCCTCCAGACCGGAGCTGGGGCTGGTTTTATCTGCTCATTATCCAGGCTGTAATCTGCAGTGTGCCTTTTTCCGGAATTTATACGACTCGGACCCCAGAATTCTGGCTCTTGCTCTCGTTGGGAGATGATATCTGGTTTTGAAACTAGAACTCCTATATAAAAAGAGAAATGACTTATTGAGCAGGGTGCTTGTCCAACATATTTCCCTGCGAGAGGTTAATGAGAACGTCCCAGGCTAAGCCCAACAAATGTCTGGGGCGTTAGAGATGCAAGTAGAGGTAACAGATCACTTCACCAGAAATGGTCATTGGCCTGTTTGCTTTGTTCATTTGCCCTCTTTGTTGTAATGAAACACATCATACAAAAAGTAACTGTCATTGGTTCTCAAACGGGCATGTGATTTAAACTGGCCCAATCAGAATGAACCCAATGGTCGGAGGACAGGTCTCTCACTGTGTCACTGTGTGTGTGTGTGTGTGTGTGTGTGTGTGTGTATCTTACTAGGAAATATGTGGCCTCAATTGCCATTGGCATCTATCTCTTGACTTCGACACACAATAGCTTCCACATGAAGCTGAGACTGAGGATGGCAGAGCAGGGAAATGATGTTGCTGAGCCCTTTGTACTGTGGTTGGACCATGCCCTCCTCTGGACTTCCAATTATGTGAGAAAATAAATGTCCTTACTTTTTTTTAACACTTAGCTAAAAGGCTGCTGTTCCAACCACTCCCAACCCTAACAAATAGAAAGTCTGTCATTAAGTATTTAAAAAAAACTAGAAACAGAGTTTAAAACTAAGAGAGGCCTAAGATTATCGAGTTCAGCATTTCCCAGTTTGTCCCTCTGAGCACTCTTTTCACCAGATTCCACATGTAAAGGGGATCACCCTGTCAAGCAAGCAGCCAACAAGCTTCTAGTGCCTTACCTTACTGACAGCGGTGAGCCAGACCTCACTGTCCCTCCTGCTCTTCCCCTCATGTGTCTAATCCCACGCTCCAACGGGAAGCGGTTCATTACTGTTTGCTTCCTGTGTAGATGTGGCTACAGAGAAGGGAGTCTGTGCGGATCACATGGGCTCCCGGCCTCTGAGCCCATGAGATGTGCTTCTCACTGTGGCTTAGTGCATCCGCCTCATCGTCTCGGTTCAGTCCGCCCCTGAGTGTGGGGTCCTGTTTGATGTGAAAAGCCTGGGTTTCTGTGGCAGAGGCAGGGCCCAGTGCACTGTGGGAATTTACTGGGGAAACGAAGGAAGGAGCCCCGAGAAGGGAGGCTCCTGGAAGCCAACCTGCCAGCCTCTATCCCCACGCTCCACCCCCCAAGCTCCACCCCTGCCACCACAGTGCTGGCTACGAAAGGCTTGTCTTCTCCCTATGTCTGAAGTCCCACTGGCTTCACAGAGGCACGAGACTTAGGGAGTCTTTGGGAACGCTCTTTAGGAACGCTCTTTGGGGACCCAGCATCTTCTTCCGAGGGCACTAGTTCCTTACCCAGGGACATGCCGTTCCCACGGTTGTCTCCTGGGGGCTCCTTGCGAAACTCCTTCTTGGCACGTCTGCCAGGGCCCTGGGCTTCCTGTGAGTGGACAAAAGAAGAACCTCAAATGTCACTGACCCTGGAAAACAGCCAAGAAACTCTCTGGGCCTCAGAAGAGAGCATGGAAGCACAGGGATACTGTGTGCACATCTAACATCGTAAGGAGTAGCACATCCAACAAGAAGCTCAGCGACTAGGGGCAAGCAGCTAAAGCTCACAGCCTGGGCCTTGTGGCCTTTTGCTGAGAGAGCCCATGGAGAAAGAACTGGAGCAAAGGCAGGAGAAGGAATGACGGGAAAGGGAGAACAAAGAGCAGCTTACCTGGGACTCAGCTGTCACCTCCCAATCTCCAACGCTCCCCATCTTTGTGAGAGTAAGGACTCGGGGAGTGAGGACAGCTGAGAAGAAGAAAAAGACTCTAAAATCCAAGCTCTGGTCTCCACAGAACCACCGCTTGGGTCCAGCATTCCAATGGCCATGCTTGGGTCAAACTGAAACTATCCTCAGTCAGTGCAAATCTCACCTTCCTTTCCCTTCCCTCCAAGAGGGTCTGGCTCCTAAGCTGCCTTGAGTGAGGTGCCCTGTGGGAGATGCCAGCCCAGAACTCCTAGGGTCACCACCTCCTCCAGCCCCAGCCTGAAGCTGCTGCGTGACTCAGCTCTGGAGGAGACAAGCTATCCCTGGGAACTTCAATGCTTACGTGCTTGCCTTACTTCTCAGAGTCCCTCAGACACTCTTCTACCCCTTGCCTTGAATTCAGTACCTCCCTCCTCCCTTCCTCACCACCCCTCTCACCCCTCTTCCTTGATGTTCCTTCATCTTTGGCACTCACCACTCTCTTCCAAGGCCTGGGGCGCCATCTTGGAGTTGAGATGCTTGGGAAGGGCGGGGCACGGATTCCTCACCCACTGCCTCTGGGGTGGTCTCTCGGGCCAGTGCTGTGCTGACTGCTGCTGAAAGCACCGAGGTTCCCGCATTGCCTTCAAGGGGCGGGTCTCTTCACACAATCCCAGTTCCTGCACACAGACGGTCAACATTCCCATTGTCAGTCCCGTAAGGCCAGTTTTGGTAGGGCAGGAAATGTTCTTTAGAGGACAATGGTGATCTAAGGATTAACGGGCCCTTTTTGAGACCCAAAGATGGCTCAAGTATGACAACAAAGCCCTCAGACTGCAAACTGTTGAGACTATGAGTTAAATCCACAGTATTTTCCTTTCGATGTAAACTTGGATGAGTTACTTACCTGAGTCTCTGTTTACCCATTTGAAAAATGGTGATGGTAATAGTATCTACCTTATTGGGGTACAGGGTGGACTAGATGAGCAACATACACAGAAACCTTAGAACAGTGTCTACACACAGTGAGTGTTCCAATAAACACCAGTTACTATTTCTGAGCCTCATACCTCAGAGGTATTTTCATTCCTGTGGTTTCTGATGAGGCGTCTGTGAGGGCGTAGAATGATGACCCTGGGACCTACGAATCTAGGTTTAGGTTATGGTTCACAGGGACAGAGCTTTCTAAACCACCTGACTTTTAGGGACTTGGTTAAATCTATAAATTATAGGGACAATAATGCTATTTCTTATTACTGATATAAGCATCCAAAACAATCACATATGTGAAAAGATTCTATCTATATTATCAAAGGCCTGTGGCTGTGACGCCATAATGCTATAACGATCACCCAGAGGTGCACTGATGGGTCTCGTGGTGCTGCGGCTCTGGGGTCTCACTCCTAGGGTCCCGCCCGCCGGTGATGCGGGCCTGGGGTCTCCTACGATTTCACGCGCTGGGTCTCTGGTTAAGTATAAAACCATTCAAATCAAGAGTCCTGTGAACACGGCACTGGGAGGGTTTAGAGCAGTGGTTATGAATGCTGGCTTTAGAGTCAGGCTGTCTCAATTCACATCCTGCCTCTACCAGTGTGGCCAATTACCCATCTTTTCTCTGCCTCAGTTTCCACACTGATAAAACTAGGATAATAGTACCTGTCTCATTAAATTGTTCACAGGATGAAAGGAACTAATGCATGGAAAGCACTTAGAACAATTCCTGGTACACAGTCATGCTCAACAGATGTCAGTTGCTCCATAACAATAATAACTATTATTTTGGAAATTACGAAGCTAGTCACAGCCTGCTGCCTTGCCTGACCCACTTCAGGGAGGTTGGCCATTTGCCTCACCCGATGCCCTGCAGCCCGGGCCTCTCGGTGCCAATCCTCCACCAGGGCCACCGCCTCCTCGCCGCTCTCAGGGTGGCGCGCCTGCACCCAGGCCTGGACCTCCCTGGGTAAGATAGTCAGGAACTGCTCCAGCACCAGCAGCTCCAGAATCTGCTCTTTGAGGCGGATCTCTGGCCTCAGCCAGCGACAGCAGAGCGCCCAGAGCTGGCTGAAGACCTCGTGCGGTCCCGAGGCATCCCTGTACCGGAACTGCCTGAAGCGCTGGCGGGAGGCCTCGGGGCCAGGGACAGGGCCATGGTCCTCCTCCCGAGGTCTGGATTCTGATCTCCATGCGTCCTCCCCCAGTTTCACAATCAGGAGTTCTTCGAGCTCCGGTTGGGGAGACACCTGGGCCTGGGACTCCCGGGCCACAGCCATGCTCTGTCCTGGGTGCCTCACTTCAGCTGGGCTGTCCTCACCCAACGTCTTCCTGCATCTACGGTGTGTCCTTCAAGGGGCTCCTGGGCGAGGAAGTGCTTCCCACGGCTCTGAAGGCAGAAAGATAGAGGACAGTGAGCGAGGGGTCCCGGAAGCCTCACCTCACCCCCTTCCTCACACCCACCACTGCCACTGGATGGGGTGGCAGTGCTGAGTGACGCCCCTGTGCCATAAGCAGGAGGTGGGACTACTAACTGGCACCAACACCAGCAGCCAGCACAACAAAGGAAGACAGCAGTGTTAAACCCTCTGGGACACGCCCAATGCCTCTGTGATCTGGTCCCAGCATAGCCCTTCCCCCTCTACCCATGTCCACAGTCAGACCTCCCCTCAAGTGGGGATAAACATCACCCCCTCCGAAGGCCTTTCTTCCCGGGCCTTCAAGCTTTAGTCTTCCTCTAAAGGTGCTCTCCTGCAAAGTTCCTCTCTCACTCTGTACTCCTGGTCATCCTACTTGTTTGTTTGTTTTACTATCTCTATGACTCCCCAAACTGCAGCCAGGACCTGTCTCAAGATCCTCAAATCCAACCACCTAAAAGACATTTCCTCTTGACTGTCTCGTAGGCACCTCAAACTCCATGGGTCAAAATGTGAATTCAGCATTTTCTCCTGCAAATCTGTCTCTCTTCTGGAGCTCCCCATCCACAAAGGCACCAGCCCTATCTGGTTTGGCTCAGTGGATAGAGCAGCAGCCCGCAGACTGAAGGGTTCAATTCTGGTCAAAGGCACATACCTCAGTTGTAGGCTCAACCTCCAATCCTGGTCGGGGCACATGCAGAAGGCAACTGATTGATGTGTCTCTCTCACATCAATATTTCTCTCTGTGTGTCTCTCCTCTTCCCTTCCCTAAAAATCAAGGGAAAATATCCTCTGCTGAGGGTTAACAACAAAGAGACACCCACTTCCATTAATTCCAGGCACCTGATCATCACCCTTCTCCAAGATGCCCCACATCCAAGCCATCACCAAACTGTGTCCACTCAGTCTTCTAACCATCTACATCTCCAAGGCCACCACCTCGGTCCAGACAAATCATCACATTCAATTGATCAGCATTTTATCTTATGTCCCTGCCTTCACTCCTCTCACCCTTGACCCATTCTTTGCACAACCAGACTAAATCAAAATCTGACCATGTCACTTCCCTCCTACACACCCTTCAGGGACCTCTCATTTCCCTGAGGATCAAATGCAAGCCTTGCCCAAACCTCTTTTCTTCGCCGTGCTCCCACCAGTCATGGTGGTTTCAGCTGCACAGATGGCAGCTCCTACATCCTGCTGCCCTCTGAACCCTCCTTCATGCTGGGGTCTCCTTTGGGAACAGTCTCTTCCCTTTCTTTACCTACTTAGGACTCAGCTTAAATTGTACTTTTCCAAGATTCAGTCCTGAGCCACAAGCTTCCACACCACCTATGTTTTCTGTATCATTACCCAGATCATATTAATACTTTATCATTATCTACCCACTAGCCCAGTGGTCAGCAAACTCATTAGTCAACAGAGCCAAATATCAACAGTACAATGACTGAAATTTCTTCTGAGAGCTGAAAACCGATTTCTACGTATGGGCCATGAAGTTTCAATAGCACTGTACGCTCGTGCACCCGCACGTGGTATTTTGTGGAAGAGCCACACTCAAGGGGCCAAAGAGCCGCATGTGGCTCTCGAGCTGCAGTTTGCCGACCACTGCACTAGATCATAGGCTTCCAAAGGGACCTATCAGTGCTCAGCACGCACCGGAAGCACTCCATAAACAGTGAAATAATGGTCAACTAACGATGGGGATGGGCCACGAAGCAAGGATTGCAGTTAAGCCCTTTCTGTGCGAAGCAAGGAATGGCCTTACTCATGCCAGAAGGAATTGTCTTCTCTTATTCCCATCACTGTGACACTTGCCGCTTTCTAGGTTGTATCAGAGGTGGGTGTGTACATGTGTGCCCCCAGAGAGATTACAGCCACACTGGTGGCAAGGAGTAGAGCTTATTTCTCTTCTGTGTCACACCCTTAACTCCCCACACAATAAGCGGGATGCACTAAGCACAGGCCTTTTGAGTGAACGTCTGAAGCTGCTTCTTTCACACAATGAAGACTCTGATCGCACTCCCGCTGGGTTATCTGGGAAAATGAGCCCTTTGTGTCATCCCCAACAAATCTAGATGACATAAAAAATGCCCACTCAAAGGAGGCTATCAGTTGCTTCCAGGTGGGAATGACATAGCTGAATTGAGAATGGAGGGAGGGTGGCATTTTGATTTTAGGTCATCTGACTGGACTGTCTAGAAATAAGGCAAGGGGGATGAAAAACAAAGGTGTGTCCTAAAGACCTCCACATAGTTAGGGAGAGGCTAGGAACACAACTTCCTGTGCGTGCTTCAGCTATCAGCTCAATGTCACCTTATCTGTGAGGACTTCCTTGACAAGCTCCCACTCAGGCCCCCATCCCTGCTCTCCAGGAATCACCTCCCCAATCCTGTGTTCCCTAAGCATTTGGCACATACCTCTAACATATGTTGTCCTACATTATTGTAGTTACTTGTTCTTCTATCCGACAGCTCCCCATTCCATGGCATTACTAGGGCCAATACTGTATCTTACTTATTTCTGTATCCACACTGCCCAGCCCAGTGTCTGATAAACAGGGCCATAGGAAGTTTTTTTGACTTTTAATAAAACAGTTAAGCTGATATATTAAAAACCTAATGAGCTATGGAAGATCCGTAACTTGTATCATGCTAAAGAATTAACCTTTCATGATTTTTAAAACCATAGCCTTAATCATGCACTAGTCCAAGCACATTTGTGTCTCTTTCTCAAACGAGGACTGATTCACCAGTCACCTACAGAATCCCACTAGGAACTATGCACATAGAACCAACAGGAACTATGATAAACAATCTCTACCTTCATAAAAGTTAGTCCACTGGGAGACAGCCCATGAGCAAAGTCTGTGCTCCTGCACAGAAAGAACACGGCAACGAAACAGGCAGGTGGTCGGCCCACCAGGCCCAAAGCCCAGAGTCTCAGATAACACGTATTTTCTTCTGGGAAGACTGGAAAGTCCCAAAGGTTCTTTTTTAATACAAACCTGCAGATGTTCTACTACTCTCCTACATGCACACAGCAGCCTACCCAGAGGGAGGTCAACATGGTCAGCCAACAACAGACTGACTTCAGAGATGATAGGAAAGACATGAACAAGGGCACTCCGCAGCCCAGGACTCCCAGGAACCCCTAAGTCCTCATCCAATCAACAACCTGAGTGTACCCACGGGGCCAGGCCCCGGGGCTGAGTGCGAGACATTCATCCTCTCACTGAATTTTCCAGGCAAGCCAGGGAAGCACCACTATGCTGAGCTGCCTCACTCTGATCTGTAACTTACATATTAAACTACATACAAACAAGGAAGGACAGACATGTTTTAAATAGCACACCACTGTGTTCCATCCACTGTGTCTATTCCAGGGAGAGCACGTGGTGGTGATGTCGCCCGTGACTCTGCTGGTCCCGGGTCGGTCTCAGTTCCCTCGGGCCTCTTTCCGCTCAGTGAGAGTGGTGTCTGCCTTCAGCCTGGTCCTTAGCCACAGGCCAACTCTTCCAGCTCGTGTTCAGGAAAACCCAGCTGTGCCGGTCAGCTTACTGAAACACAGCATGTTGGTTCCTACAGGGCTCCTTGCCAGAGAGCTGACTGAGGTTTTGGCTAAATATGATCATCACTCTCCATGCTGCTTGTAGAATATCATTATCCTGTGAGGTATGACTCCACTACATCTTCAGTCTATCTACAGGGAGGGAACTGAGTTTCTAGAAAAAAAGATTCACTGAAGGTTACACAACTAGCAAGTGGTAGAGTTGGACTCTAAGCCCGGGTCCATGTTCCCCAGTCCATTCTTTAACCACACCTCGCAGCCCACTCTAGGTCTGCCAGTTCTGGGAAGATGGTATGGAGGAGAGTGGGAGGAACACTGAGGCAGGAGTGAGCAAATCGAGGTGCTGGTTCCACTCCTGCCATTTATCAGCAGTGAGACTTGGGACGGGTCCTGTGGCTTCTGTGGCCTCCCAGGGAGAGCACGTGGTGCAGCTTTCAGCCTGACCCTACTCACCGTGATGCCAGGCTCCCCCATTAGTACGATGGGAGCAGAGCAAAAGGACAAGGAGACTAAGATCAGTGGCTACAACTTTAAGTGGCGAGAGGCTTGGCAGTGTCAATGAGTACATGAGTGGAGTGAGGACTGTGGCCACTACAGAGACCAAAGGGCCAAGGCCCAGTGTCCACGGGCCTTCTAATGCTTCTAAGAGAAGTCGGAATTCTAGATCTTTAAATGTTGGCAACCTACTCAAAATTGTTTCAAACACCCTTTGGGTTAAACAGAGCATGACCATAGGCTTCTTTCAGCAAGAGCTGTCACTGTGCCACCTGTTGGCTGAGTGATCTCTAAGGTTCCTTCCAATCTCCTGGAAGACCTAGAAAAGAGTACAGGGCCCCTTAAGTAATGAGGGGCTGGCTGATGTCAAAATCAAGATCGCTCTACAAACCCAGGGAAGCTGGAAGGCATCCTGGCTCCCAAGACAGCGAGTATGAATGCGGACATGAAGAACCCACCCAGAAAAGAGTGGGAGGGAAAAGATCTGCCCCAGGTCCATGGGAAAGGCCAAGGCTGGTTTGTGACTTCCAAAGAGAAAAAAACTGGGAATTCCCGAAAGCTTTCTAGCCCGTGTGGTGGATGGTCCAACCATGTGGTCGGCAAACTGCAGCTCGCAAGTCGCGGTTTGCCAACCACTGGGATGGGGGCTTAATCATAAGGAACAACAACAGCCTGTAATTATTAGAATCGAGAGTCTAGGTCAGTGATCTTGGCAAACTCATTAGTCAACAGAGCGGTAAACTGTGAGCCGCAGTTTGCTGACCACTGATCCAAGCTATTGCTTAAACAGCCTGACCTTACACTTAAGGGCATAAACCAGAGAAAGCAGCAGATAGGTTTCATTTAAAGCACCAACTTCATTCAACTGTGTTAAATGAATCCCACGTGAATATGTGCTGTGACCAGTTAGCTCTGTCTGCCAGGCACAGGACGGGGAAGTGGCAGCACACATTCCATGTATTTGCCGCCCCTGGCTTAAACTCCCACAGGCACTGAATCAGCTTCCAGCAAAAACAGCCATAACAGGACGGGGAAGACTAAAACTCACACCCCTGGCAACCCACCGGAAGTAGCACCTTTCAGCCTGCTGTAGCAAAGCTCACCCTGGATGGTCTTTATTCACACATCCATCAAGTATTTACTAGGCAATGGGAAGCAGAGGTGACTCAGAAACTGTTCCTGTCCTGGAGATGCTTACAGTCTGTGGAAGAGAGAAAAAGGAATCACAGATAATAATGATGATCAAATGGGGAAAATGCAGTAAAGAGTTGTGAGGGAGCTGGGGGATTGTGAGGGAGGGGAACTTTAACCGCTTAAGGCAATTGAACAAAGTAACATCTGAGTTGGTTCCTGATGAAAGAATAGTTCTCTTGGCAGGGGAGAGGAAGGGGAGGGGAGGGAGTGTGCTCAGAGAGAACAGCATGTATAAAGGTGGGAAACCAAACAACCTCCCCCCAAAATGGGGAAAACCTTGGTAGCCGTGGAGTGCTGGGCAGGAAAAGATTAGGCTGCAGAGTAGTTTACGAAGGACTACTTCGTAATTGGACTTAATTCTATCAGTGATTAGTGCCAATGGAGGCTTTTAAAGCAGAAGGCATAATCAGATGTGTGGGTTAAACAGATCACACTAGCTACATTGTGTTTGTCCAGGCTGAGAGGTGCAAGATGGAGGCTTCAGCCAAAACCCAACAAGGAAAAGGGCAGATTCAAGACACGTTAAGGAAACGGAATGATCTGAAGATCCCTGGTGTGGAAGAACGCAAGAGAATCCAGAAGGCACCTGGGCCAAGTGGAGGATGGTGCCATTCGCTTCCGTCGGGCATAAGGAAAGAAGTGCAGGTGTGGGACACAACACAATAGCTGGTCCCACCCACTGGGTTCCAGAAGTCACAACCGTTAGAGAAAGTGTAAGGGCGTAGCAAGTCAGATGTCTGCTCTAGGTGGGCAGGGAGAGGCTGGTACATTATTTTTAAGGTTGGGCTTTAAGCTCAGGCCCTCTTATCTTCACTTCTGGCCAGGGCCCCCGACCCCTCTCCCTCCCTCCCTCTGTGGTCTCCTGGCCTTTCTAGACTCTCCCGCCTCCAGAACCTCTCTCTCCTGCAGCCCTAAGCCCGTCCTCACTCCCAGAGCCCTCCATAGCTCCCTCCTCATCCCCAACCCCTCGATGACCCTTCCCACCTCCGGACGCTTCATCCTCTGACCGCCCCTCACCCTACCACCACCCACACATAAAAGCTTCTTTCTCCTCTCACACCTTCCCCCGGCCTCCTGTGACACATCCCCTCCTGTCTCCAGCCCAGAGCCTAAGTCTCAGATGCCCCTGACCCGCCACCCGGACTCACCCACCGAGACACCCACTTCACAACGGGGCGGAAGTGCTCCAGGGTTCGCGC